TTTTCCGTCCCGTTTTTGCTCATTTCTCGGAGGCAAAATGAGCAAGAACGCTCATTTGTACATCATTCTAGACAGAAATAAATGGCCTTTTTAGAAACCATAAATGGGGAAATGTTGGCAGTTTTCTCAAAAAAGGCTTGAATTCAAGAAGTTTTAGATTTGCGTGGTTTTTTTTGAGTTGCAAAATCTACTTGAACATGATGCTGCTTTTTTCGAAGTTTCTCGAGAACCATTCGAGCCACATAATTCGTTTTGGTATCGTTGGATAGAAAATTGAATGGGAAGGGGTCATGACCCCCATGACCCCTCCCCCTGGATGCGACCTTGTTGGCCCTGCAAAAAATTTCCAAATTGAGTTTTCGACTCTGCAATTTACAGAGGAAATAAATGTAAAACTGTAGCCTACAAAAACCGCCACGAAAACCCTAAAGATTATTGAAAATCGAAACGTTTTCCACTTGTACAACAGGCTTTGCTCTACTAAATGGGCGCAAAAAACCCTAGTTTTACCGTTTTCTGAGAAAAAAGCCAATTGAGTTACGGAGCTCGAGTCCAGCAGGCAACAGTATGAGGTTTTCCTACACGCAAACACCCAGTATATGCAACTTGGGACGCTGTGGGCTAAACTGGAGGGTTTTTGTGCTGACTGGAACCCAACAGTCCCATAAAGCAGGCTTACATTTACGTCTTCGTCGTGCTGTCGCCGATCCTAATTTGATTAGTGAATATTTCAGTCCGCTAATCCGTGTTATGGCTGCTTAATGGGACGCAGCCCCGTCCGGGCACAATGGGGGCACCTCGCCTTGCGCCCCACACAATGCCCCATCTGTCATCGTATTTATTTTCAAGACCGGCAGGTACCTGCCGATAATTGCCGCTAAGACGCGAAGCGCGATGGCGTAGATTGCGAATTATTGGCCTTTGGGTTCGATCAATTAGCCGGGTGATGGAGGGCGCGCCAGAACCCGAACCCGAACCATCCCTCTGTCGCTCCCGCATTGCTAATCCTGCAGGATTTTCTTGCTGCCGTCCGGCAGGAATGCGCTTAGCGTTAATTAAAGGGGGCCAAAATCGCGTTCACGTTCAGGTGGTGGCGTGGGGCGCGGGCGGTGGCTGGCTTTTCACATTAATTCGCGTTGAAATTAATTTGAAATAAGCCGAAATTTGCGAAAAAAAATAACGCCGAGATGGCGAGAGACCGCGCCCAAGTCGGTCCTCTCGCGTAATTAATGGGCAAAGTTGGGCGACTGCGGCCCCAACTTGAGAGCTTTGCAAGTTCCCCGGCCAATACAACCACTTGAATAATTACTGGCGACAGCTTTTAACGCGACCCCAAGTAGTTTACAAAGAAAATAGACCATTTTTCATTATTCTCGTTGAATAAATTAATGCAATTCCTGCTGGCGCAAAACGAGAGGGTTGCTTCGCGTCCCCGTCATGTCGTGGACTTTTCAACTTTTTCGGCTCCGTCGACAACTGGCTCGGATATTTCATCTTCAGACTGATGATGACCGTTGCAATTTCAACCCGAAATACTGATTTATTGTCTTCTAAACTGACTTGTGTTTCAATATTGAAGTTGACGCCATTTTTAGTTCGAATAACGCCAAGTGCACTGACTAAATGTACATATCTGATTAGACGGTTCGACCAATCAGATTTACAAAACACACGTCACACGTGCAGTGAATCAAGCGATTAGGCGTCGTCGCGATGAAACGTCTTCTGTCTCTGGCCCATTGACAGTCACGTCAGTATGACAAGACTTTGCAGATCCACAATATTGTCCTTCATATTCCCTAGTTGCAAGCTTGAGCGTTTAAAAAAGCGATTAAAAACCACATTTTTGAAAAAAATGACGAAGAAAAGTGGTTGGGCGCCCAAAAGTCGGCGATTCTCCTGAGAATAACTTTAGTTTGCATCAATTGAAGAGTGTTGTGCGCAGCGTTGCCATGTCAAGCACCGCAAAAGCGGTAAAATAGGCATGCAAAGAAAACGGTAGTTATTTTAAGGTGTGTACATTTTTGTTTTCCAAATTTTAAAAGCCCGTGTAGAGTACTTTTGCAAAAAAATAACGCATCTTACTACTACTAGACTAAACAGGTCGCTGGAAAAACAGCGCATTTAATTCTTTTACTCTCACTATAACTCTCACCATCAAAATAGTAGATCTACGGTAAAAACGGCAGACCTGGCAAGACTGATGGTGTTTAAGATTGGCGCGGTGTTGTCGATGTGCGCAAAACGTTTTATGTTAATGGAAATTCCCAGGTAGATGTTAGATCTGAATCGGGAAGCGTTGTGCGAGCGGCAACCATTATGACATTTTTTAGTTATCTTCAATAAACACGTCAAAACAATCAAATATTTTGAAAATATTTTTATTTTTCGCAGAAATTTGATGCTTTCGGTACATTCTTCTCAGGAACATCCTTGTGAGCTCTTCTGCACGCCTTTAACCCTTTTAAACGCCGGCTTTTATCTCGTGGTACACGAATAAATAGGTTATCTGGCGTTTTAAAAGTTGTCTAGGACACAGTGGCATCATACAGCATTTGTAATATTGTTTTTGTGTTGCTTCCATTATTAATAAAGCACAGTGCGATTTCTGAACAGTCAAACACTCAGACAATTCAACGACAAGCTGTATTCCCGTATTGCCTTTGGATCTAACGAACTAGCGCTATGACGTCAGAACTAATCCCGCGCGTTTAGTATCGTTTCTAATGATTAGCCTACGGTCACAATTTTAATTGTTTATTGCAAATTAAATATTGCGATTTGAGGGTATGCGCGATTTCTATAGATAAGCAAATATTTGCAAAAAATATTAAAGAAATAAAAAGAAATGTTCAAGTTCCCAATTGTTAAGCAAAAATAATCAGCTTTATGAGGCATGTCTACGCGTGCAATAATATACATGGTGTTCCATCGAGGATATGAAAATATCCAGGGCGTAGCCACCTTTTTACGCAAGTGGCAGCGTCACATCGCTCAGAATATTGCATTCTTGCAGGTCGCTAGCGTACATTCGGTTGCTTAGTGGTACAAAAATGATCTGTATATGTGAATCACCCCCTATATTCGCTCCTTTACGATTGAGTCACCCACTAATCGCTTATGTAAAGCGTGATTTGCGATCAAAAATACGTCAGTTTTGTGTTAAAATTGCGTAAAACAAATGCCAGTTTGATTTGGTACCAAATCCCCGTTTATTTTAACAGTTGCATTCGCTTAAGGCGCTTAGACTGTGACGTCCGGTTGGGGTGGCGTGGTGCCAGACTGCGCCACCTGGGCGCCCAAATTCGCCTTCAGGGCCACTTCAAGGCCGGGGGGCGGCGTGGGCAGATGATCCCCTTCCGGTTGGAACCCGTTCTCGTCCGCCACATACCTGCACAACCAATCACATTAGCTGAATTCTCTCGGGAGTAGAAAAAAGCGCTTACTTGACGCTGATGAGCTGACCATCAGGCGCCGTGTAGCTGAAGCTGCCCTTCAGCACCACAACATCCGAGTCGGTGTCGTTGCCCAAACTTCGGGCCTGTGGATTCGCCTTAACGCTGCCGCTTTCCTCCACTTTGATTCCGTTGCCAGTTTCGAAGCTGAAACATCAGCGGCTTGGGTTATAGAGTTAGTCCTGCGAGCGAAAAAGCGGCGCATTTTTAATAGGCGCCGCCGCCCTACCTGTAGCTGAATCCGCCGTCCTCTTTTGTCTCCGCAGATTGGCTAACAATTGGAATTGGGGTCGATCCACCCTGCTGAGGGGTCGGCTGCTGCTGCTCCTGCGGCCTGCTTAAGGTCGGCGCTATTACGAGCAAGGCACTAATCTGCAATCGAATTCGTTACCTAAATAAACGCATTGCGTTAAGCAGCTCGCATACTTACCAAAAACACAAACATTTCTACTGTTGATTGACTGACTGCGAATGCACTATGAAATGGCCGGGCGCAGCTTTTATTGCGATCTAGAGGATCGCGGTGCTAATCAGCCAGACCTTCACACCTGCAGCGCTAATGTGACATTAAACCCAAAGGAAAGTGCAAGTGTGTGTTAAGTTTCCTCATCTTTGATTGCCAGCAGCAATTAGCGCCTGATTGTAATCCAAAGTCGGCCGGAAAGTTTCATCTGGAGGCCATCATCAGGCGGGTTGGAAAAGACCTGGGCCAAGAAGCGACTTCAAAGACTACAAACGCTTCAAATGAGACAAGAGGTGTAAAAACCGAGCGAGAATTAGATAAATCTTGAAATTAGATAACCTGTAAATTGGGTCAATTTGGGCAGGTCGCTTGATGCGCCAACTCAACGGACCGGCGCAGTAACTCGGTGTCGTTTCTGGGAAAACATTACTTATAAATTTGAGTAGGTTGACTTGAGAAGGAGCTGAAAAACGCAACTCAACACAGTGTTAACCATACCCAGGCCTAATGAGCACAAGGAGTGGAATTGGGCTGCGATCAATAAAACGTACAATTGATTGCCGAGTTAGAGCAAAATTTTCTGAGAATTTTTGGGGCAATATGAAGAAATTATTTCAAATTTTTTGAGAACATTTTTGATTTGGAAACGGTCACTTGCTCCAAACAAGAATCAACTTGCTGGTCGAAGACTCCAGTCTTCTTTCAAGACAAAGTCAACTGCTGTTTGGGTCTAGTGATGTGACGTTTTAAGGTTTGAAGAGTACAATTTGAACTCTAACCACTAAATATCACATTGGGTGCTGCTTTGCTATTGAATAAAACTTTTTTTCCGGGACTCCAGCTAAGCTGTACCCACTAAAACCCTTTTCTCACCGCCTAGGTGGTGTTTGGCCTTGCACCGCGGTCATTTCTGTCCTATTGTGCCCTCGTAATTTTACTCCCTCATTGTCCCTGTATATTCAATGAATTCCAGAAGAATCTTGAGGGGAGTTCGCATGATCTGGTCTGGTGGAAATTCATCCCCTCCCAGGAGTCTTCGTCTACGTGTTGGATATGACGTGCAGTGACACATAACATGCAGAGTAGTTTTGTCCCCTAATTTGCAACCCCTGCAGGTCGGTTGATCGCTCAGTCTCATCCTGAAGAGGTGTTTTTTGCAGGGGGCGTGTCCTGTTAAAAAGGCCACTATCCTTATTTTTTGCCTGCTGAGACCTAGCAGTTCATTTTTACATACTGGTTGTGGAGGTCCCACCAACTGCCTTGCGGTATGGAGTCGCGGTGTCTTCTCCCAGTACTTTCTGTGTTGTTCCAAGATCCACTACCCAACTGCCACCCTAACTTGAGCATGAGATATACCGCAAGCAGGTTCTTGGTTGGTCAGTGGTTTCTCGGTCCCTACCTTAGCAAGTTCCGCAGCAATCTCGTTTTCTTTGTTGCTGTTCGAACCAGTTGCCCAAGTGAGGTTTACTCTGTTTGAGCTTCCCGGCCAGGATTGTAAGTTCTTTTACACAATCTAGCACACATTGTGACCTGATTGTGTACGATTCTAATGCATTTATTGTGGCTTCATCTCCGGTTACGATGATAATGTGCTTACGTGTGTAGGCTCTTTCCTTCATTTTCCGGGCGCAATTTGTTATTGCTAGGATGTTTGCTTGGAAAGCTGTCGTAGTTGTACCCAGATTTAAGGTGATCCTTTCCCCAGTTCTTCCTCTTTTGACTATACCAGCGCCTGTGTCCGACGCTGTTTTTATGCCCTCCGTGTACCATATGGAGTCCCCTGTGATGGCTGATGGAGTCTCTCCACCATCTCGCCCCTCATTTAGAACATATGTTCTAAAAGGTACCGAGATGCTTGGAGTTTTGATCCCATGGGTTCGACTGTCTTCAATTTTCTGAAGATCGCACTGTGCCCCAAATCCTTCGCTTTCCTGAGGACATCGTCACCCATACGGTAAGCGCTTCTTAGGGCCTCAGCTTCAATGGATAAAAGCAACGGCTCCAGCCCCAGGAATGTCTCCTACTTTGCAACAGGAACTTTGTTCAGGAACTGTCGATATGTGCTGATTTTGGTTCTATGCCACCATATCACGGGGGAATATGTGATTATGGGTTTCACAATGGTGACGTATGTCCCGTACACCATCTTCGGTGAAATTCCCCATGTTTTTCCAAAAGTGCGTTTGCAAGTCCATAAAGCCCTGCTCGCCTTGTTTGTCTTCTGTTCCACATGTTCTATAAACAACAGCTTCTTATCCAGGGTTACCCCACGAGCGTTGTAACGGAAATGGCCTGGGGTACTCACGTTTGGAATGGGGGGATCGAAATTCATGGTATTTCAGTAAATGGGAGCCCCATTTGGGCCCCATTTACTGTCAAATATGACACTGACAAGCGGGAAGTTTCGCACCTGTTCTGGAGATTTCGAGAACTATTTGCGTTACCTGGAGGAAACTATATAAGCGACGACAAGAACCAGACRGAAGTGACAGGAGCGACCGGGTGCAGAAWAGGTTGAACCCCGTGAGTCGRAAGACCGAGTTTTCCGCCTGCTATTGTTATTGTTTGTGAAGTTGACGGTGATTTTGAAGTTAGTTTGTTCCTGTTCCGTAGTTAAAGTTATACCGAGTGGAATAAAAGTTGGAAGCTGAAGAAAGAGTTTGATAGCCGGCCATCCACGGTACAATATTTAACAGTGTCAGACATGTGTATATTGTTCCCATATATAGACATTTGYCTTAGGGCTCTAAGATMTCTCTTSCTTGTGAMAGCGATAATAKATGTYTTGGATSGGMYAATTTTCRGCCCTTCCGTGTTAYACCATTAATATGCAGTTGCTTCAAGTTGCGACTGATTAAGGTCGAATCATCCGGTATATGTCCCAGATGGCGATTAKGAGGGATCAAGGCAGACCCCGTGCGATAACGAAGCCGATTACACAACCSTAAGCCGCTCTCCAATAAGGCGACGTACGTTTTTGAGAGCCGAAGGCGACCATTCTCCATCCCCCAAGCCGATTTGGGCGCCCTTATTAACAGGCGGATTTCTTTCGCTCGCCGCCTCCATAAGACCCAATTACCGCATTGCAAAACAACAATTATCGCCGCGAAATTCGCCCCAAATTTGCCTACGCTGTTTACTTCGTTTATTCACAGTGACATTCATTGTTGTCAGTTGTCATTCTCAGTGTTTGAGTATCGACTCATCTAGTTGGCGGGTCTTGGGGTTCAGTCAAGGTCAACCACTGTCCACTTCCTGGTAGTCCTGGACGAGGGCGGCAAGGTTTTCGCGGGCGTCCTGAAACTCCCCCTCCTCCATCCCCTCGCCCACATAGTGGTGGACAAAGGCGCGCTTCCGGTACATTATGTCGAACTTGCGCAATAGCCGCTCCCAGGCCTCCTTGATGGCCGTTGTGTTAGACAGCATTGTTACCGCTCTGGTGACGGTTGCCAGATCGCCTACAAACATCAGAACAAAGAGAAAAGTGTCGGGGGGCAATAAGCGGCCACTTACCGCCCGGCACAGTGGTGGGCGGCATGTAGTTGATGCCGACCTTGAAGCCGGTGGGCGACCAGTCCACGAACTGGATGGAGCGCTTGCTTTTGATCGTGTTGATGGCGGTGTTGACGTCGGTGGGCGAAACGTCGCCGCGGAACAACAGACAGCAGGACATGTACTTGCCATTGCGCGGGTCGCACTTGACCATCTGGTTGGCCGGCTCGAAGCAGGAGTTGGTCAGCTGGGCGACGCTCAGTTGTTCGTGCATGGCCTTGTGGGCGGCCACAAACGGTGCATAGGTGATGAGGGGAAAGTGGATGCGCGGATACGGCACCAGGTTGGTCTGGAACTCATCCAGACTGACGTTGACGGCGCCTTCGAAGCGCAGCGACGCCGTCACGGCGCTCACCACCTGACCGAGTAGGCGATTGGGATTGGTGTAGGTAGGACGGGGCGTGTCCAGCTTCCGGTCCAGGATATCATACACGGCCTCGTTGTCCATCACGAAACAGACGTCCTGGTTCTCGATGCAGCCGTTGGTGGTCAGCACGGCGTTGTACGGCTCGACAATGATGGGCGAAATGTGCGGCGCCGGATAGACGGAAAAGTCCAGCACGGAGCTCTTGCGGTAGTCGCTGCGCAGCGCCTCTAGGAACGCGCTGGTGAAGCCGGAACCGGTGCCCCCTCCAAAGGCCCGGAACAGGATGAAGCCTTGCAAGGAGTGACAGTCGTCGGCCAACAGGCGCGTGCGATCCAGAGCCAGATCCAACATCTCCTTCCCTACTCCGTAGCAACCGCGTGCGTAGTTGTTGGCTGCGTCTTCTTTGCCTGCGACAATTGACGTTGACAGTGCCTTGATTTATACGCAATTAGACTCCGGTGTGTTAGAGAGCCGAATCAAGCGGGCGAAGAAGCAGAAGCGTCATAAGCGTCACACTAAAGGTCGATTCACACTATAGTTCAGCTCAAGGTCCGCATATTCTTCCGTTGACATGCGATGGTGATTCGCTCAGGTTGAGGAGAGAGGTTGAGAGGACTGTGAGCTGAACTATAGTGAGAATCGGTCACTACATCTAGAACAAGAATAGGGAAAAATATACAACGGATTCCGGGTGACTTAAGGTCTAAATCAGAGCTGCTGCATACGGAGTGATTCAAAATTGGCGTTATTCCTGTGGAGGTGTTGTCTGTCGCCGTTATAAGAGTACAGAAAAAATAGTAAAATAAATTAATTGTTATTAAAAACTGCGAAATTTGCAAAAAACTAGATCAGAAATACGGCAGCAATGTCTTTCAAGGTAATCTGCCTAATTAACATTGCGCAAATACCTGTGGCTTCGTAATTATTTAAAACTCCGGTAACCTGCTCTCATAACCTAGAATATGGGTGTTTATAAATAAACCCAACAACACCAAACATTTGAATGGTTAACTCCACACAAGCTAGTGCCTGTGTAATCTCCTTATTATCCACTCTTATCAAGCAGCTTCTCGTATTCAGTTAATTAACTCGTGCTCCATTTGTATCTCCTTGTGCTGTGTGCATCGTACAAACGTGGTAGGAATGTAGCCCTTCCTCGGTATTTATTTGGTGCTTCGGAAAGTGTCAGTTACTGTGCTCTGACTACCCCTGGAAGGACCTGATTCGATTATGTCCAATACTTGTTCCTCTGTGCCTGGAATCCGAACATCAATTGTCGTCCACTATCTTCCTGGAACCACTCTCCTCGCCCTTTGTTGGCGTGAGTTCTTTCAGCTTCTGCTATGTTACTGTAGCATTTCCCCT